CGCGCCTAAAGACCGTCTCCCTGAGGTCATACCTGCAATTATAGTTGAAGCAAATTTCAGACAAAGATGAAGCTAAGCTATAACTTTTGGATTTGAAAAAATCACAGAAAGATATTGTAAGTCCGATCCAAACTCATATCTTCATTATTCGTTTGCTGTGATGAGGTCCCTTAGTGCAGCAATAATTAATGATTAACAAATAATAACCCTTGACTATTGAATAATTTCGGGCACTTTTGCGCCTCCTTTGAATGTGGACATATTTTTGTTCAGTGTTCGGTATTTTCGAAACGAACAACGAGAGTTGAAATTATTTTATCTGAGTAGGATTTATTTTCCAATGAAAGAAATCCGCAAAGAAGCAAGAAAAACTAATTCTGTCACTGTGCTTAAAAATAGAGAATTGCGTCTTTTCGGTCAAAATTCTGAAATGGCAGATTACAACTTTGTTTGTTGTTCGCTGATTAGAATAAGGTTGTCTCTATCCATATATCTAATTACGTTCATTACAGCATGAAAATGACGCTTTGAGAGTCGCAGAATTAAGCTTGTGAAATTTTAGAGTTGGGGCATAACAGTCTTTACAGATGATAAAAAACTTGACTAGTTGATTATGTGGTAAGCTACGTCCCCCTGGAAACACGGATAAAAAACAGCGAGAGCAGTTTTTATGAAGATCTTCATACTAAAACGATTATATTTTAACCAGCTTAATATAAGTGCTTTCAGACCCGAGTGACTATTCCCTGATTCACTTTTCTCCACCAATAGGCGTTTATTTATCTGTCCTGAATTCGATGTTTTCTCTCTTTGATGATTATTGCTCATTTTTTTGCAGTAAATAAACGAGTCAACAAAGCACATTATGATTGAAAATAAAACTTTTCTAGCGTATGCTCTATTTCCTCTCAGAATGAGCGCGCATGATACGGTAAACAGATAGTCATTAGAGAGTGTGCAGATCTTGGAGAGTGCGCACGCACTGTAAGCTGCGTACGCGCCGTAATGTCTGCAAATATCTCGCTTGTTAATTTTCATTATTGGTATAGCGTACAATGTCATAAGGGTTTACAGAGGGAAAAAATGGTAGATTACAAGTTCCTTACTCTGATGAAGTTAAATTTTTTTGTTTTTTTTTTCATTGAAATAGGTCATCTGTAAATGTCCTAACAATAAGATACTAGAAAAACGGCTAAATTTAAAAAACCATTCTCTGCCTATGACAATCTCTTGCTGTCTAATAAAATAATGATCACTTTCAAACTAGTGTAACCAACCAGCAACTGTGGATCCGATGACCATGACCGCAGGCATTTGCCATCGATATGCAAAGAGTGGTAACCAGTTATATCGATAAGCGGTTAGCCACCAGAATATCTAAAAAAGCATTATAACTTGGTTGTTATAAAGAACCCGATAGCCAAATCCAAGAAAATCTTACATGTACAAGAATCACAGGCAAACAAAATGCGATATATTTCCTTTTAGTGATCAAAAATCTTTCAACGAAATCTGCGTCATCAGGAACATGTTGATCTGTTGGATCGGACATTTGTTGACCTAGAATTTGTCGCTTAGAGAGAAAAACAGCAGTATGTAGTAAAACACACCAGCCATGAAGTACTTCCTGAAGAATGGCTGTTTTGGCAATTTTAAATCATCTGAAAATTAATAGCTAGTTTGTTTCTAGAAAGTATTTTGCAGATTTTGACGAACCTGAAATGTGCTCTATCGAGCCATTGACTGCTTCAGCGGGATAGACTCCTACCATTTTCCCGTCCGTTTATCCTTTGATCAGGAGTCGGAAGGACAAACTTTGGCTAAAATAAATTCTTGTACGATAGAAGAGAAATTACAAGAAACGATGATTATTATAGCGCAAGACAACTAGTATAATTCATGGTTCCTTCAGAGGGTAGAAGTTCAAATTAAGTTGATGGTAACAACATTTAGAATCTAGAAACCAAACCATATAGATGTTCGAACTTCTTGCTCAAATTTTGTTTTCGTGTGAAGGTAAAATTGTAGAAGATGATTTTAATATCAGGTCGTAGCATAAGTCTTGTTACACTTGGAGAAAAAACCTTCATAACCTTTCAAAAAAAATTTATTTATCTTCAAATTGGAGGTTTGTAACGTTCCAATATATACATGTCCCACATGAATTTACTATTTTTGAATTATTGATTTTTGTAAAATTATTTTTGGCAAATTTCCAACTTGCATTATGGGAAGTCTAGAGCTCCAAACTGCCTTCATACTAGTACTAATGTCCCCGGAATTTTATAGAAAATCTGAAAGCATAAAAAATAGGGATGGGAGAATTTTTGAGAATTTTTAAAGGAAAAAATAAAAATGGGAGTTTGAGTGCCATCACAAAATGCTTTTATGTTCTGTAATCCATATGTGATGGTGGAAATAATGTCAAAAGGTAATCCTTTGTCCACTGCTCATATGTGCCAAACATTGGACTTTGCTAAAGTTTCTCTTATTTATTTTTTTAGAGACAAGTGAAGAGAGTGTCACAACACTTTCGTTACAACGTAATTCATAATCGTTTGCAACCATAGCGGAAACAGCAATGAACGAGGAATACAATTTGAGAAGCAACCAGTTTGATGGATCTTACGAGGGCAGGATAGGCTCCGCCCTTGCCACGCCCATTCTTGGGTCTTGGGTCAGAATTTCAGTAACTTTACAACGAAGGAATATAAGGCAAATATTTGGATTGTACAAAACATTTGACGCATTAGGATAGACTGCAGGCAGATGTTGCAGTCTCAGACAAACACTCAAGAACAACTCTTTGTTTTGCGGTTTTCTTAGACATGCCATTTTCATCAATGTCGCTGACAT